TAGTGTATTTTTCAGGGCAAAAGAGTAATTACATGGCAGTGTACGAGCTTTGCTCAGATCTTCCACACAAATGATGGGATAATAACAGCTCTCTCCACAGAAAAACTCCTTCTGGGCACTGTGTTTATCTGCAGGAATGCTGGTAGTCATAACAAGACTAAATATATAAAGTGTAATAGGTCATCACTTAGAATGAGGAGAATAGTGTTAAAGTGATCACATAATAAAGACCACAGCACTGCCCGATGCATTGAACTCTATATAATAAAGCTGCAGTCACATCGTCATCAAAGTGGCTGCCAAAGTTCAAACAATGCAACTGACTTGGCGAATGACTGTCATCATTTACCGGACAATTCAAATAATGATATCAAAAATCTGACAGGTGTACGTTTACAACTAAGTTAGGATTACAAAGAAACGTTTAAAAATGGTCAAAAATGAATGTGGTGTGAAATTTTTTAAATTTCAGTGTTAAAATACTTTCTTCATTCTCAACACTACTTTCTTCACTTATTTACCCAATATTTGGGATCATCAAAAAATGGGATCAATTTTGATTTCTTGCTGACAATTGATGCTGATGTTGATTTCATGCCATAAGTACAATGGCATGGGGCATGGTCTGAATTTGGTGAAAAATCAGACCAACGGTTTAGGAGGAGTTTGAAAAAATATATTTTCAATGTAAATCAAAATGGCGGACAGGAATACAGCCTCAGATGCAGTTTGGCATCATGCCATTAAATTCATTGATGTGGTAAATGACACTAATTTGGACCAACGGTTTAGGAGGAGTTCGAAAAAGTAGGTTTTATTCATAGAAAATCAAAATGTCGGATAGGAAGTTTGGCCAATTATCGCATAATTGGTATCGATGTTCTCAGCATGACCCAAGGAATCTATCAAGACCAGTCTCATGACAATAGGCAAAAATAATCAAAAGCTATTAGCATTTTTTGAAATGCCATTTTAATTTTTGGCCAAAAGGCGTCGCTGCCCCAAAACATTTTGAGTACCTTCAGGATATGTTGCCGAAGGCACATACCGAGGTTTGTAATTATACGGCAATCTGTTTATAAAATACAGCATTTTACGACAAAATTCAAAGTGGTCAACACCAAAAATGGTTGACATGGGAAAATTGGGTATCAAAATTCGAAAAAGTAGGTTTTTCGAACTATTAAAAATTGCTAAAAATCTTGACTCATAGAAATTTAAATTTTGGTGTGCATTCGACTCAGCATAAGCCAAGGAATCAGAGGAAAAGGGAATTTTGCATTTAAACTTTACGGTTCAAAAGTTATTAGCATAAACATGATTGCAACTTTGAACTGTTGGTGTCTAGTGGGTTAATGCTCCAGCTGGAAAGCTGACAAAACTCACATTAACAAAATGTCAGGCACTTACAGCCCACCTTACTGGCTCGTGTCACACGACATGCTGCAATTTACATCCGCTGACACAAGGATAACTTAAACTTTCCACCCCGGAGAGCCGTCTCCAAAGTCTATAACTCTGCCACACTCATATAATTGTTATGACGTTGGCAAAAATCACACAAAATGGGGCAATGGGTAATATTCTGCAGAGAGGACGGGGAGAAAACTTACAGAGTGCTTCATCAGGCATGTTACAGACTGGATTTGTGGGCCGTCTTCCAACATAATCGTTTATTTTAGAAACCATCCTGTTATTAGAGCCAAGCAATAAATTCCATTCACATGAGGTGGCCACTATTCTGTGTGCCATCCTCAATGAAAAACACTCTGCACTCCAAAAATCGGTTTTCACAGCGATGCCACAGAAGAACCATCCTTTCAATGAAGAGATCTTAAACAAGCATCTTTTTTCTCAGTGTGGAGATCAGTTTAATAGCCTGATGAACCCTTTTCCACTATAAAGCAACCCAGGCTCACTGGAAATATGTGCTTGTGGTTCAAAAGTATCAGTTTTCAAATGTCACAGTATGTTACAATTGTTTTGAAGTCATAACATAATATTGTGCGAAAATTAGGCTTTCTTAATCAAAACTCTAGCCCTGTAAATCATAATTTGTGTGAAAAGGAGTAAAAGTTGTCAGAGTTTTACCAAAGTTTTACCTCTCGGGCATGCAAGTGCAGCTCCTATTTCTTTGAATTGGGAAACATCAAATTCTCCAAAACTGTTCAATCCGTGTATCATTCGATCATTTGTTTTTTAATTTAATATTGAAAGTAGAAAAATGAGAAAACGGCTCCTTTTTCGTTTTTTCTTTTTTTTCCAAAAAAAACAAAAAAGGAGAATTCAGCTTAAATTTTCGTTTTTCGTTCATGGGTGGAAAAATGAATAAACAGCTTGAATATTCGATTTCTACATGTGGGCGGGAATTAAACGCCCCTTTCTGCTGATTGGTCAGCCGAAGATCAAACCGTGCCATCATCAGTTCTTCTGCAGTATTGCAGCAGAATAATAGTCCTCCACTGCTGCAGTTGTACGGATTATTAACCCATTTTATCAATTTCATATTTTTCTCATCAAACAGACTAATGAATAGCTCGACACAACTCGTACCGGGGCAGAGTCTAGACAGGTCTTTCTTCTGTGTAGACCAGCGGTTCTTAAAGTGATAGGGGGTCCGATAAATAATTAGCTATAGCCAAAAGCATTTCCAGACTGTAAAGTCATTTTTTTTTTATCATGATGCATAGGCCTACTGTGATTTATTCCAAAGTGACTTATATGATGCATTTAATGTAAAATAATCTAAATGAAGCCTTTTAAAAGATGAGTATTCCCTGTGGTTCATTTTTGTGGCATGCGCCAGAAAGATGCTCAAGGAGACCGAAGGCTATTTAATATCTGTTGTTCTCCGGTTGTCAGTCAGAATGACAGTTCTTGCGTGAACATAGGCCTATATATACCCAAGCAAATTTATTATTCTTTCCTTTGTCTTAGTGTTTAAAATATTTATTTTGAAACGAATTAATTAATTAATTGCTTAAACAGACTTACTGGGTGAGCAGGGTAGGCTATGACAGCTGTCATATCATACCCTGCCATGCCCAGCTTATGCAAAGAATAGAATTTATATCTACACAGAAGAAAGCCCTGTCTAGACTCTGCCCCAGTATGAGCTGTGTCGAGCTATTCATTAGCCTGTTTGTTTGATGAAAAAAGATTCAAATGTAGTTGCAATAAATGCGTTAAGAATCCATACAACTGCAGCAGCTGATTAAGGCATGGTTTGATCTTCGGCTGACCAATCAGCAGAAAGGGGCGTTTAATTCCCGCCCACATGTAGAAATCGAATATTCAAGCTGTTTATTCATTTTTCCACCCATGAACGAAAAATGAAAACTTAAGCTGAATTCTCGTTTTTCGTTTTTTGGATATTAAATCAAAAAACGAATGATCGAATGATACACGGATTCTGTTCGCCAAGCTTACGCTTAAATTTCATATTTGAAATCAACAATGAAATATGACAACAACTGTCCCATAAATGTTGTTTATTTTGCTCAAATAGCTCAAACGCTGACTGTTTCTATAGCAACCGGGACTTCTAATGACAGCTGCAGTGACGCGATGACTTTATCAATTAGTGATTGGCTCTTTTACTTCCTTTGATAGAGCGGCCATATTGAGCGTTGCCTTTTTCCCCCATTCAAAACTACACGAGTGACAGGTCTTGGGTATTCTATAGTCTTTAGTTTTACTGCCTCTAGTGTAGTGCTGGGCGGTATGACCAAAAATTGATATCACGGTACGTGTTCCGAACGTTGTTTAAGCGACATACACCGGTATTGTGGTATTTTAAAAATTCATATCATAACAAAAATAAACACCGGTATTCGGTATGAACCGGTATACCGCCCAGCACTACTCCAGTGTTCATTTCAACTGGAAACTGCAGCGATTTGTACATATAGGTACATTTGAGTTTTGCAGAAATGTAGGCAGAGAGCATGTTATTCCGGACAATGAACAAGTTTTATGGGTTTGCAACGACATGAAGTGAGTAAATGATAACAGAATTTTAATTTTTGGGTAAACTATCCCTTTAGGATTGGTCCTCAAAGAAAATATTGGAATAAGAAACAGTAATTAGATAATTAGAAGGGGGGTCCACATACATCTGGTCATATAGTTTACATATAACAGAGGAGGTGCTGTAGAACATATCCAAAACATACAGATGCCTTATTGTAGAAGAAACACTGGTTTAGAGCTCATAAAGAGATGAATGCCACCTGTTCATTAAAGGGGTCATATGATGCGATTTCAAGTTTTCCTTTCTCTTTGGAGTGTTACAAGCTGTTCTTGAATAGATAAGATCCCTAAAGTTGCAAAGACTAAAGTCTTAAACCCAAAGAGATATTCTTTATAAAAGTTAAGACTTGTCCACTCCCTCCTAAAACGGCTCGTTCTAACACGCCCCCACATGTCTACGTCACGATGTGGGAAGATTTGCATAACTCCGCCCAAATGTTCACGCAAAGAAAGGCGGCGTAACTTTGATTCTCGCTGTAGTATTGGATTTGCCACTGATGATTCAAACGTGAGTTTTGAGCACTGTAGAGTAGTGCTTGTTGTTTGTCATTTCTCCGATTATAAATGCGGACATGGTTTTATGTTTACGCGGCGCGATGCAACGCAACGCCACGTGTAAAAAGACAGTATAAGTCACTATAATCCGTAATTATGTCCCCACTGGATGCAACAAATGCCTCGTTTGTAATGGGTTTTATTGGTTTTGTCTCGTCGCGCCGGGACACGGCATCACAATATGGTAGGGGCGTAACATTTCTGTCACACACTTGAGGAATTCGGCCAATTATAACGCACTGGATAGCTGGCCAATCAGAGCACACCTCGCTTTTCAGAACGATGAGCTTTGTAAAAATCGAAACGTTTCAGAAAGGCGGGGCATAGAGGAGAAACAATGTACAGTATGTGGAAAATAATGTGTTTTTTTGAAGCCTAAACCGCATAAACGCATTTCATTACACCAAATACACAAAATAATGTTCTTTTTTTAGCAATATCATATGACCACTTTAACAGCAGTGTAGGATAAATGGGAGGATGTTATGTTTGGCCATGCATTGCTGGACTTGCTCGAGCAGGTCTGAGAACCGCTGAGCCTTTATTGAGACATCTTCTGGTTTTCATCACCTCCAGCCTGTCAATAGCAAACTACAACAGATGCACAACTCCCACACAAGCGCTCCAACAGATGCGGAAACCAGAGCTTCAAAATCATCCTTTTTCATGTGCATCCAACAGTGCTAATAAACCTTTTGTTATGAGATTCTGTTGTTGTCGAACATATGCTTTGAGTACTAAGTATCTTTCAGAACTTGCTGCGAATTCACAATAGGGTTGCAAAAAGGTGGACGATTTCCAGTAAATTTCGGAAATATTCCAGAAATTTGGGAAACTTTCCAGGATTTTTTGGAATATTCCAGGGATGTTTGGAAAGTTTCTGGAAATTTACCACCCCTTTGCAACCCTAATTCATAATGTCTCAAAAGGAAAAAGTGTGCAAGCTTGTGTATGTCTGTTTTGCTTCCGCATGATTAACTACATGCAAGGCAAAAATTAAAAGTGTTGCCAGGAATGTCCAACTAACAGGGAAGTTGTAACGAGTTCTATAGGAAGCTGAAGTAGTCTGTTAGGGTTGGGAATTGAGAATCTCTTCTGAAACCCCAAGTATACTTCAATTTTTTTTGTATGCATACATGCACATTCAAACGAAAGGCCTTTCAAAGCACACTCCATTTGATAGTGTGCACAAATACACGTGGACAACACATGCACACTAGAAAGTTTCATCCTTGTCCAGCATCTGTGCTATTTCTCTCCAGAATGTATGAGTGCTTAAAATGTCTTTGCACTCGTTCTGTGCATTTCTTAATTTATTGTATTTGCTTCCATTATCAGAACGGTAATGTTTGCTCTTCTGTTATGTGGACAGAATAGCACATTTGTTCTGTACACAAAAAGTGTGTCCAGTGAAACCAGATTCCCAAACAACTCTTATGACTCCATTAATTTATTCAATTGGTCATGAAGATTCACTGGATGTTTATGTGACAATGTGTAGTTAAAGATACACATTCATGGACCAATTATGGCTCCCTCGTTGCAAAATCAGAGCTCCCTAGGAAACAATGGTGTAAACACAGCTTTCCGTGGTATTTATGCAGCTTCCGATGCGGTTTCTTCACCACTTTAGCAGAGTAAAGATGCCCTGTTTCTGGAAGACTTCAATGCATGTTTCTTTAAAATCAAAGCTGGCATTTTATGTATCCTAACTACACACAAATAAATAATATTTTATGAACATTTTGCATAATTTGACAATATTAAAGCTTGGAAATTACATTAAAATATTATATGTGGTGTTTTATTATACATTTTTTAAATTATTTTCATGCCTTTTACTACTGGGGCAAAACTATTATAATAGGAAATCTGTAACAATGTCACAGTTTATAGTTTTATGATGGATTTTCACAGATGAAGATTGAAAGTAATAGATTCATGGATTGTCCAGATTCTGCTTTAAAACAGGCTAGCTTTGTTGATGTTTACACAAATATCTATAAGGTAAATTAGTGACTGACATCAGTACCAATTCAAAGTAAACATTCACAAAACATCACCGGATTGCCCGAAACACATTAGTGTAGACTACCAAAATTAACCATCATCCACCTCATCAATCTGCTAAATCCCCTGATCCATGCTCTTACTGTGCATTGTTCTTCTCTCTGAATTGATGGTTTGTTTTCTGTGGTTTAGTGTAAACCGCTGTGGATTTCTTACACTTGGCCTGTAATTAGATAATCAACTCTACTTCAAGTGAGAAGAAATCAGGCCAAATAAGTTCCATCATAACTGCTGTACTGGTGCTTCACTTGTTTAGCTCTGCCTGAAAACAATTGTGTTGTAAAACAAAAACTGTGGCTAAAGGCCCTTTCACATTAAATATTCAGCAGCAACAAGATTTTGAATAGAAATTATTTCTATGGAGCAACTGACAACAGTCCAGTGATAAAAAGCCAATTTAATTTGAGCTTTGCTTTGCATGTCTAAAACCACTGCATATATAAACTAACTGAGGATTCTTGTATTTGTTTCTCTCCAAGATCAAAGATTCCATATTTCCCAAAATAATTCAAAATGTGTGAGGAAATACAATCACTGAACTCTATAGAAACCTGTAAAAATGTAATAGCCTAATATTGGCAGAGCAGCTGAAATATGATCAAATATGATTGCAGCATATTGTACTAGTGTAAAAGTGCTTTTAGTGACAAATTAAAGATATTTAAGTCACTCTTTATTTCAGTGGACCATTTACCTGAGATTTGTTTCATTTCATTTCATTTGATATTAAATATTTCAAAACGTTTACATTTAGAAGTATTACAGCATCACAAAAAGATAATTTACACATGCTTACAAACTATCACTTATAATTAACAGTTTTATATTTTTACCTCTGAGGCTGAACTGTTTAAACTACACCAATGCTTCATGGG